TTGTTCAATAGTCCCTGCTTGAGGTTGCTGGGGTTGTTAGACTGGTTGGGGTCGTCCCGGCTATTCCTTGCCCAGGTGTTGTAACTGTGCTATTGCTGTCGTTACTACTGTAGCTACAGTAGCATCTTGATCCTTGTGCAGCTTGTATCTCTTGCATAGTCTATTGTTGTTCCTCTAGTCTCTTCATTATTGTTTGAATAGGGTCAACAGGAGGTCTATCAGATGCTTCCCTTGCACAGGCTCCAATCTTGTTCTTGCCATTTTACTTTATCTTCTTTAGGTACAAAAAGGAACATGTGTAACACCTCCTTTAACACCCCATTATATGTCAATCGAAACCACTATAACATGTTTCCCAACATTTTCGAGTGAAAAATTTCTATTCCAAAATTTTCCTCGCTAGTCTGTCTGTACACTATTCATCTGAATTTAGGTTAATTTTTCTTTAAAAAAATCAAAATGAGGTGGTTCTAATTTTCTATTGAAGCTTGCTGAGAGTTCTTTAGAGGAAAAATATTCATTGGACTCATTCCATCTAGAACAGCACAGAAAATTCAACAAAGTGCACTGTTCATATGGTCAATTTTTGAATTTCTAGTATTTTAGCCCAAATTTGAAAGGCCATAACTCTTAGAAGAAAACTCTAAATTTGATGGTTTACCACTTGTTTTAAAGGTAAAATGAGATCTAAATGCCCATAAAATCTCAGGCCTAGATTCCATCAATTGCTTATTATTTTGTGTGTCACAAGTTTAACCTCATTTAGGGTATTTTTATCCCTTATTCTCCATCATCTTGAATTTTATTTTCTTTTTCCTTTTTCCATACCAATTGGACATTCTAACCACTTAATGTTTCAACATTAGTCATGTCATAAAGATATAATTTACATTATATCATCATCCATGCTCCATTACAACTAAAATTTTCCTCGCTAGTCTGTCTATACACTATTCATCTGAATTTAGGTTAATTTTTCTTTAAAAAAATCAAAATGAGGTGGTTCTAATTTTCTATTGAAGCTTGCTGAGAGTTCTTTAGAGGAAAAATATTCATTGGACTCATTCCATCTAGAACAGCACAGAAAATCAACAAAGTGCACTGTTCATATGGTCAATTTTTGAATTTCTAGTATTTTAGCCCAAATTTAAAAGGCCATAACTCTTAGAAGAAAACTCTAAATTTGATTGTTTACCACTTGTTTTAAAGGTAAAATGAGATCTAAATGCCCATAAAATCTCAGGCCTAGATTCATCCATTTGCTTATTATTTATGTGTCACAAGTTTAACCTCATTTAGGGTATTTTTATCCCTTATTCTCCATCATCTTGAATTTTATTTTCTTTTTCCTTTTTCCATACCAATTGGACATTCTAACCACTTAATGTTTCAACATTAGGTCATGTCATAAAGATATAATTTACATTATATCATCATCCATGCTCCATTACAACTCAACATGAAGTTTACTAAAGCTTTACATAACTTTTCAAAATCATGACTTCCATAATGCTCCTTCATCCCAATACCATTTCCTTGCCCTTGCCATTAGATGAACCATCCCTATTTGGTACATAAATTAACATAGGAGGAATGAGATTTCAAAACAATCTCAGTAGCAATTGAACTATAATTATCATGTAAATTAAGCAAGCCACAATGTGACATGTTATAAACTTCAAGATATCCTCAAGCCACATAAAATCATGCTCAATATCATGCTAGGAGAGGAGCACCAACACTTCCACAATAACATAATTCAATGCATTTGGCCAAAGCATAAACCAAAGTCATCCAATCAACCAAGATCACAACACAATTCCTCAATCCAAGCAAATAACATAATCACATTAAACAAGCAAGATAAACAATCAAATTATAATTCAATGCTACCTTTATCACTTGGTAATTTTGGCCTCCTCAAGGGGTTATGATTCTCCTTAATTCCTCCTTACAAAACCTATTGATTCAAGCATAAACACAAGCTACATTAACCACTAATAACTTAAACACAACACTTTAATTTAAACTTAACATTCCTCTCCTTTTCTTTTGATTTTTACAATATTATTCCTTCTTTAGAATCATTGATCTCTTGGCCTAATCCTACACAATTTTTCATGGGGACTCTAAATATTTAATTATTTTTTCAAAAATCAAACTCCTTCCCCATTAAATCATATTGGCCGAATATGGGGTTTCAAACTTCCAAAAATTCTAATTTTTATTTCAATGATTTTACACACTTCCCTTTAGCATATCCCCACACAAAAACACATTTTAAACCCATTGGAATCATCCAATCAATGCAAAATAATTTCCTCTAGCATATACTACTACCCTTGGTCAAAATGAACATGTAGGACCCTAACTGGATTTTCTTCCAAAAACCACTCTATACACCACACTTACACAACCTTATTTTACTTGATATTTGAGGTTTCTATCCTCCCCTAAATGTCACATGTTCAAACTGAAATGGACAGCAATTTTTCTTAATTTTTCAAGCCAAAAACCCTAACTAAACTAGCTTGAAACTTATGGATAAGGAGGCTTAAACATACCTTGATGTTTTCTTAATAGAAAATGAATGATTCCTGGCCTAAATACCTCAAAATTTTTAGTCTCCTTGTTCTAAAATGAAAGTGGCAGCACTTTCACCTCTTTTTCCAATTTTCTAACTTTTTTCTTGTATTTTAGGGAGCGGTATTTATAGACCAACCAGCCAGCCCCTCTCCCCTGATTTTAGATGCACAAAATGCTAGAAATTAAGGTGAGTTGGCAACCATCAAATGCATCATAACTTCAGGTTTAACCAACTGTCCATACACTAGAATTTTCCAACATTTATCCACTAATTTTGGATTTATTTTAATTAAAAATAGTAGGGTCCAGAACCTGCACGAAATATGGGCCCCACACATGGCTTAGTATGGCCTAAAAAGATGGCCCACAAGCCAAATCAAAATCCCAAACCATTTCGACACTTTATCGGTTACTATTCATTAGTAATATTCATAATTTTTTAGTCCTCCAAAAATTCATTTCTCTTTGTGATAATTCAGATTTTAATATGAGAACATGATCTGAAAATTTTCAGAATTTTTTACCATCTCTAGATATTTGTTTTGAATTTTCTCCGATTAGGCCTCTATCTTTGTCACTGCGAGAAAATAAATTCTCTAAAATTAATTCCTGAGCTTCCAAGGCCTAAAACTAATTTTATAAATTCAAGAAAATATTTAGATGATTTTTTCATTTTTTTCCAGAATTATTGAGCCATCTAACTACTTAAATAATAATTATTTTTTTCTGATTTTTCAATATTTTCCTGAAAAACCTCTGTTTTCGGGAAATTCCATAATAATTAATTTTCATAATAATTCCACCTTTCAGGCCTCAACTGAGATTCCAAATCTTCTAATTTGTATTTTTCCTATTTTTGAAGAATTTTCTAGAATTTTTTTGAAATGTTTTTGTTTTGCCCTTCCTAGACTGATAATTACAAAAATGCTAGCCCAGACCTTATTAGGGTTTCACCTTAAAAGTTGTTTCGTCTCCCGTGTAGCTTCTACATTGACCCTCATCTAAATTTTGAATTTCCTATGTCTAGGTGAAATTTCTTTGGATGTGATAATTCCTTCTTCTTTTAAATAAATTTTGTCCTTGAAATTTAGAAACATACCTTATTTAAATAGCTCTGGATATCTAGCCTTCATGTCGTCTTCCTTCTCCCATATGACTTCTTCCTGAGTTAGATCCCTCTAGATGACTTTAACTTTTGAAATAGCCTTATTTCGCAGCTGCTTGATCTACCGATCTATCACTCTTACCAGCTTCACCTCGAAGATAAGGTTATCTGGCAGCTCTATGTCCTCGTATTTTAGGACATGAGAGGATCCAGCTAGTACATTTTTAGTTCAGAGACATGAAACATGATGAATTTGGCTTAGATTAGGGGGTAGGGCCATTTTGTAAGCTACCAAGCTGACTCTTGATAAGATTTGTAAGGGTCTGATGAACTTAGGCGTCAATTTACATGCTTTGATTGACCTTCCTATGCTAGTAGTTGGAGAAACTTTAAGAAAAACATGGTTTCCAACTTCAAACTCTAGAGGCTTTCTTCGTGTATTGGCATAGCTCTTTTGCCTACTATGCACCATAAGTAGCCTTTGCCGAATAATTTTAACTTGTTGTGAGGTTTGTTCTACCAAGTTAGGGCCAAACATCTTCCTTTCTCCTAATTTGGTTCAACACAATGAGGATCTACATTTCCTCTCATACAAAGCTTCATTAGGAGCCATCCAGATACTGGAATGGTAACTGTTGTTATAGATGATCTCTACTAGTAGCAAGTACTTATCCCAGCTCCCTTTGAAATCTAGGGCACAAGCTCTTAGCATATCCTCTAATGTTTGAATCGTACATTCTATCTATTTGTCAGTTTAAGGATGATAAGCCGTTCTGAAACTTAGCTTAGTGCCCATGACTTCTTATAGAATTTTCCAAAATTTAGAGAGAAACTATGGGTCCTTGTCAGATACGATCATCTCGGGTACTCCGTGTAACCACACAATTTCTTTGATATAAATTCCTGCTAACTTCTCTAGTTATTACTCTTTCTTGGTGGCCAATAAATAAGCTGACTTTGTTACGTGATCCACTATTATCCAAATCGCATTGAAACCTGATAGTCATCCCAATCCTTGAGCATCAAATCATCAATCCATGCCATTCCTCTTAACACATATCTCTACAATAGATGGTTGAGTTTTTAGTCATGTTCCTCAGTTCCTACAGGTATTTGAGGATCTTATAGTCACAATATAGTTTGATGGTTGCCCTGTACAGATAGTGCCTCCAGATCTTCAAGGCATATACAATTGCTGCCAACTCAAGGTCGTGTGTGGGATAACTCTCCTCATAAGTCTTTAGCTGTCATGAGGCATAAGCAACCACTCAACACTACTACATTAGCACACATCCCAATCCTTGCTTACTCGCATTTGTATACACCACATTTGGCACCATAGGATCGGGGATTATCAGCATGGGAGTCGAGGTCAATTTTTGCTTTAACTCCTGAAAGCTAGCCTCACACTTAGCATTCCAATCGAACAATTGATTCTTCGATGTGAGCTTGGTCGGCGGTAGGGCAATCCAAGAAAAATCCCATATGAACCTCCTATAGTACTCTGCCAGTCCCAGAAAGCTTTTCACCTCGATTATCGTCTTGGGTCGTTCCCAATTCAACATGGCTTCTATCTTACTTAGGTCCACCGCTACTCCATCTCGGGTAATTACACGACCCAAGAACTTTACTTCCTTTAGCCAGAACTCACATTTGCTCGATTTAGTATACAGTTGCTTTGCCCACAACATGCCTAATACAATCTACAGATGCTATTCATGTTCCTTTGGTGATTTGGAATACACTAGGATGTCATTAATGAATACCACTACAAACTGATCCAGATATGGCTGGAAGATTCTATTAATGTAATCCATGAATATAGCAAGTGCGTTTGTCAATCCAAATGGCATCACCAAAAATTTGTAATACCCATACCTTATTCGAAAGGTAGTTTTTTAGGATATCTTCTGCCTTAATCCTCAACTGATGGCACCCTAACCATGAATTAATCTTCAAGAATACAATGATTCCTGCTAACTGATCTAGCAAATCATCGATCTGTGGTGACGGACACTTATTCTTGATTGTCAGTTTATTCAGGTCACGGTAGTCTGTGCATAATCTTAGGCTATCCTCCTTCTTTTTCACAAACAATACTGGTGCACCACCGAGATATGCTAGGGTATATTAACCCTTTCTCCAGAAGCTCCTCTAGCTCCTTCTTTAGTTCTGCCATCTCATTTGGAGCCATTCGATACGGAGTCTTTGAAATTGAGTTCATTACAAGCACCAGATCAATAGCAAATTCAATCTCCCTTTCAGGGGGCAATCCACTAATCTCCATCAAAAATACCTCAGGGAATTCCTAAACCACCAAGATATTCAAAATTTCTTCTTCTGTTTCTACTTTCACTGAGAAGAACACTATAGAACCCTGCAACCCTGTCTCAACCACCTATTCGCTTGAGCCGCTGAAATCACGTTCAATTTCACTTCTGTCGTGGGGGTTAACTCTTAGGTAGGAAGGATCAGTGTTTTATTTTTACAGTCAAAGAGGACATTTTGGGAGGACAACCAGTTTAATCTAAGGACAATATCAATATCATAGAAAGGCGTGCATATTAGGTCTAACGTAGTGCAACAGTGGGCATACTAGACAATACAGTTTAAAGAAATAGTAGAAGTTAAAATTTTTATTCCAGTGGGAGTGAAAACATATAAATCATACAGTAATGTGTCGATAACAAAACCTAAGCGCCTAACGCAATCATATGATATAAACGAGTAGTTGGCACCCAAGTCAAACAAAGCATCCACAAGGTAGCCATTCATAGTAATTGTACCTTAGATCATCTCGGGCAACTTAGAGCCTCTTTTTGATTAAGGGCAAATACCCTACCCTGAGCCTGAGGTCTCCCTATGCTGTCAGCACCTTGTGGGCACTCCCTAGCAAAGTGTCTGGGTTATCCACATCTGAAGCACACACTTTGACCCATCATGCACAGCCTATCTCCATGATTACAGTCACAGTGCTCACATTCAATTGCTTGGTGAACATTCTTCGCTCCCCAATGGATACTCTCCATTCCTCCTTGTTCGGATCCTCGCCTCGATTTACTAGTCCCATTAAATCTCTTTCTCTTCCGGCTACCACTGAAAAAAGTACCTTCCTAACCCATTCTTGCCCCTAGCTTTTCGGCTCGCGGGGTTGCTCGACTACTTCATTATGCAGTAACCTCAAGTAATAGAAGTAGTCCAGGTAGATCACAGCATACTGATTCTTGGTTGGATCTATGTACCTACCCAACTCAATGAATTCTGTGAAAAGACTGTTATGATCTTTAAACTCCTTCTTTACTTACAGGGGTCTCTTCTTGATTGGTAAATCCTTAGCCTTGATCTGCTTCAGCTTCACAGTCTGAATAGGTACTACCTTGATGGCACTGGGGCCTGCCTTATTAGGGTGTGGCTAAGGTCATATGGTGCTCTAAGCATAACTATTCTCAAGCATTATGATATTGTTAGAGTCTTTCTCAGAGAATATATCCTCTATCTCACTGAGGAGCTGATAATATCTGGGTGGTGGAGTCAGATCATTAGGGTCTTCAACATGAGGGTAGTATCACTCTGGGTATGGCTCCCCCAGCATCCTCTGATTCACCATTTCCCCGAAGTCGTCACTACAACAGACAATAACTTACCTGTACTCAACTCCACTTACAATATACTGATCTACTAAAGCAGTGCTCATTCATAATCAATAGGAGCAGTCACATTTCACAGCCAATTACCACTATCAAGCATTATTTACAAGTATTAAGTAATAATCAATCTTTGTGCACAGTACGCAGAAACAGAGCTAGAACCGTTGCTCTGATACCAAAACATATAACACCTTCTTTATTACCCCATTATACAACAATTGGAACCATTATAACACATTTCCTAATGCTTTCGGATGAAAAATTTCAGTTTCAACATTTCACATTTTATTCTGTCCGTACACTGTTCATCCGAATTTGGGGTAACTTTGAAAATTCACAACTAATTCTGGAAATATCAAAATGGGGTAGTTCTAATTTTCACGTGAAGCTTACTAAGAGTTCTATATAGAAAAATATTCATTAGACCTAATTCCATCCAGAACAGCACCAGAAAATTCGACAAAATGCAACGTTCATATGGTCAATTTTTGAAGTTTTAGGATTTTATACCAAATTTGGAAGGGCATAACTCTTAGCACACAACTCCAAATTAGGTGGTTTATCACTTGATTTAAAGCTAAAAATGAGATCTATTTTCCTGTAAAATCTCAAGTCCAGATTCCATCATTTGCCTATCATTTTATGTATCACAATTTTACCCTTAATTTAGGCAATTTTATCCCATAATCACTTCTTCCTTGGATTTTATATTCCTTTTTCCTTTTCCATACCCTTTAGGCATTTACCACTCAATGTTTCAACATTAGGACATATCATAAGGATATAATTTACAAAATATCACCATTCAAAATTCATTACAACTTAATATAAAGTTCCTTAAAGCGTTACACAACTTTTCAAAATATTATGAATTCCATAATGCTCCTTCATCCCAAAACCATTTCCTTGCCCTTGCCATCGGATGAACCATAGCCTATTTGGTGCATAATTAACATAGGAGAAGTGAGATTTCAAAGAAATCCTAGTAGCATTTCAATTACAATTATCATGCAAATCAAGCAAGTTACAATGTGACATGTTATCACACCTCAAGGCACAATCAAGCCGCATAGAATCATGCTTAGTATCATGCTAGGAGAGGAACACCAACACTTCCACAATGGCATAATTCAATGCATTTGGCCAATGTATAAACCAAGGTAATTCAACCAACCAATGTCACAATACAAGTTCCTCCATCTAAGCAAACAACAAATCACATTAAATAAGCAAGATTAACAATCAAACTATAATTCAAAACTACCTTTTATCACTTGATTAATTTGGTCTCCTCAAGGGACAATGATTCTCCTTGATTCCTCCTTATAAAGCCTATTAAATCAAGCATAAACATAGGCCACATTAATAGCCAAACCACTTAAACATAACACTTTATCTTTAACTTAACAATTTCTCCTTTTTTCTTGGATTTTTAACAAAATAATTCCTCCTTTAGAATCAATAACCTCATGACTCATTCCCACACAATTTTCATGAGGAATCCAAATATGAAATCAGATTTTTAAAAATCAAACTCCTTCCCCTTCAAGTTGAGTTGTCCAAATTGAACCCTTAGAACCTTAGGTGGATTTTCTTCCAAAATCAATCCATACAACACTTACAAATGCTTATTCCACTTGATATTTAAGGTCTTTATCCTTCCCTAATATCACATGATCCATCAAAATTTTGGGCCCCATATACACTTGATTTTTCAACTTAAAACCCTAACTAACTTAGTGTAAAACTTAGGAATAAGGAGGCTTAAGCATACCTCGATGTTTTTCTAATATGAGCTGAATGATTCCTTGCTTAAAACCTCTACAAATTCAGTCTCCCTTGGTCTAAAACAAAAATGGCAGCACCTCCCCTCTTTTTCCCAATTTTTTCAACATTTTCTTGTATTTTAGGAGGGGGTATTTATAGAAAAACCAAGCTGCCTTTCCCTCTAATTTTTGGACATCCATAATGGCTAAAACAAGATGAGTTGGTAGCTACCAAATGCCTTATAGCTTCAGATCTAACCATGTGTCTAAACTCTACATTATTCCAACATTTATCCGTTATTTTGTATTTATTTAATTAGTTTTGTGAAAGGGGCAGCAAGCACTGAAATTAGGCCCTTATTAGGCTCAATGTGGGCCCCACAAATAGCTTGGGCTGGCCTCAAAAGATGGACCACATGCCAAATCAAAATTGCAAACCAATTTGAAACTTTATCAGTTACTATTCACTAATAACATTCTATAATTTTTCCCAACCTCCAAAAATTCATTGCTCTTTATGATAATTCACCTTTTGATATGAGAACATGATCTGAAAATTTTTAGAATTTTTCACTGCCTCTAAATATTTATTTTGAATTTTCTCTGATTAGGCCTTTATCGGTGTCACTGTGAGAAAATAAATTCTCTAAAATTAATTCCTGATCTTCTAAGGTCTAAAACTAATTTTATAAATTCAAATAATTATTTATATGATTTATCCATCTCTTTTCCAAATTCATTGAGGCCTCTAACTAATTAAAATAGTTATTTTTCTCTTATTTTCTCGAAAAACCTTTGTTTACGGGAAATTCCATAATAATTTATTTTCTTGATAATTCCACCTTTTCAGGCTCAACTGAGATTCCAAAACCTCTCATTTACATTTTTACTATTTTTTGGGGATTTTCTACAATTTTTCTCGTTTTGCCCTTCCTAGACCAATAATTACGAAAATGCCAGCCTGGACCTTATCGGGGTTTCACCTCAAAAGTTGTTTCATGTCCTCATCTAGTTTCTACATTAGCCCTCATCCAAATTTTTAATCCCCTATAGCTAGGTGAAAATTTTTGAGATGTGACAAATCTCACTTCCATTTTTAGAAGTGCAACACCCTCCTCCTCTAAAAACATCCTTCCTTAAACCCTTTTTAGTGTGCATTTGGAAGTGTTACGGCTCAAGCGATTCATGAAACAAGTCAATAGATTGAAAATTTAAAATTTGTTATTTGGGTTACTATTCACTGGAGAATTTCTAGATTTTTAGTTCAACTTTGAAAAT